CAAGCAGAGCAGATCTAGTGAATCAACAGCATGTCACAGATGGAAACTGGGATAGGTGTGGCCATGCAACTTCAGAATGTGGTCAAGATGGCAAAAGTTATTAATGAGGAAGAACAAACAAACTAGGAAACCTGCATACGCTTGTGTGATCTCAAAGGCCTTCACGGCTAGCATCCATAGTTTTTGTGGGTTTTCTGGGTTATGTGGCCATGTTCTGGAAGAGTTGATTCCTGATATTTTGCCAGCATCTGTGGCTGGCATCTTCAGAGAATGCTGGCATGGAAGTGAGTGGGGTATACTGTGTGACTCTTGGTTGAGAGGAAGTGATATACACATTAATCTGTATAAATCTTAGTTTGTTGGTGAATGGTGAATCACTTCCCCCCAGCCACAGATGCTGGCGAAACATCAAGAATAAACTTTTCCAGAGCACAGCCATAGCTTGAAACAAAACACAAAAAACTGCATAAGCTTGTTTTTGCCTGAGCTGACTGGAAAGGTCAAGACTCCCACACTCCTCTCCTCCTGCTCAGTTAATGGAGAACAAACTACTTTCGCATTTTGAACTCAGTTTGCACAAATGGAAGTAAGCTGAGGACTAAGGGGGAAAGTGGAGAGAGAAACTGGTACATTTTTAAAGCAGCTGAAAAAGTGAGATGGCAGAAGAATCATCAGGATGTTCCCTGCTAAATCAGGACATTTGGGGAATATGGAATTATGAATCAACACATAGGAAAATCCCATTGAGTTAGCATTTGCTCTAGTTAGAAATAATGATAGGATTCAAGCCAGTCTTTTCAAGCAAGAACTCTTGATACATCTACAAAGACCCTTCAGAATTAATCAGACGATCATTTGATACTCTTAAGTTTCTGTTGGGGTTATTTTAGTAAATAACCACCTTATTGTACATAACTGAAGATTATGTTTATTTTATGTAGTTATGAAATAAAAAATATAAAATTGGGTGGGGGGGGGAGATAATTTGATACTGTTCCAATACATTGTGGCTGTACAGCACCTGGCACATTGAGTGTCTGAGCATGCTATAAGATACTATAAGCAACTATGTTCAGGTGACATATCAGAAGCCAAGCACCAAAGAAGAGTGAAACAGGGAAGGAAGCTGGTATTCCCACCCCTGCCTCTCACTGGCCTTACAATAGAGTACAATGTGGGAAATGATAGCTTGACTGTTATTTAGCGATAAGCATAAACAGAAATAAATAAGGCAGGGTAGGAAAAGCATGAGATCAGATCCTCGTTTTCCCATTGGAGAGGTTTCTGGAATGAATGGTAACCTTATCCCATAAAGGCCATGTGACATCATACCCCAGGAGCCAAGAGTCAATTTAGCAGCAAGCGCCTGCATATTCTCCTAAATAGGGAA